AATGGTCCCTGATCCTTCAAACAAAACATCCTGTTGCTGGAAAAGAGCCCTGTAAATCAAAGATATGCTGATATTGCCATTGACACAGCTTCCATTAATTGCATTCAATAGGTTGCCAACACTTCCCATCTTATCTCTCATCATGTTTCTAGCTTTTAGGAGTTGTATCCACACCTATGAGTCACATTCTTTAGCCTGAACCTGCTAGATATTTGTTTGCCTCAGGTAAGTGTCGTGCACCCATTTAATCCAAAGAATATCTTTTTTGAGGTGTATCATCCAAAGTAGTTTAGCTGATGTTGCTTAATTCCAGAGCTTAGCTGAGAATAATCCCAAGCCAGCATGCTTTATGTCTTGACAAACAGAGCTCCAAGATACCAAGTGGATTTTGTGACCCCAAAGGAAATTAGAACACATGCTATCAATCCTTTCTAGCACCTTAACAGGAAGGATAAAATTACTTATCCAGAAAATTTGAATGCCCAAAATGACTGAGTTTATCATTTGCAATCTCCCAGCATAAGACAAAAACCTTGTATTTTGCCAATTTTGAAACTGATCTGATATCTTGTTGATGAGAGAAGAGCAATCAAGCCATGAGAGTCTTTTTGAAATAAGTGGCATCCCCAGATATTTTATAGGCAAGGTCCCCTCTAAAAAATTAAGACAGTCACAGATCTGATTCTTCAGGCTGTCTTCAATCCCACTCATAAAAATTGAACACTTAGAGGGATTAGGATTCAATCCAGAGACCTGACTAAACTCCATTAGGCAGTCCCTCAATCTTGATATTGAATACATATCTGCTTTGCTAAACAGGAGGAGATCATCCGCAAAGATTAGATGTGATATCTTCATTCTTGAACACTTAGGATGAAATTTAAACAGTCTATCATTCTTAAGACTGTTTTGCTTGCGAGACAAGTATTCCATTCCAATAACAAACAAATATGGAGAAATGGGGTCACCTTGTCTTAGTCCTCTAGCTCCTTAAAAATAGCCATGAAGAATTCCATTTATGGATATGGAAAATTTAGGAGTAGAAATGCATTCCATAATCCAAGAAGTCATAATATATATCAGGAAATCCTAATCCTTTCAACATAGCTCTTATAAAATCTCAGTTAATGGTATCAAAAGCTTTCCTTAAATCAATATTCAAAACAGCTCTAGGGGAAGTGTGCTTTCTACCATAGTGTTTGACTATTTCATGAGCTAGAAGAATGTTGCTAGATATTAGTCTACCTTTAAGAAAAGCACTATGAGCATCACTGATTAAGAATCCCATTATCTTTTGAATTCTGGAAGCTAAGATTTTAGTGATGATTTTGTAAATGCAATTGCAGCATGATATTGGCCTGTAGTCTGCAGCATACTGAGGATTAAGGATTTTTGGAATCAATGTGATGGAGGTGGAGTTAAAAGTACCAAGCAGCTTCCCAGAGCTAAAAAATTCCTCCACTGCTGCATAAAGTTCTTCTTTTATAACATTCCAAGATGCCTTGAAGAAGAGAGCATTATAACCATCTGGACCAGGGCTTTTATCATTTGACATAGAAAAAACTGCTTGTTTTATTTCCTCTCTAGTTACTGGAAGACTGAGCATGTGTCTCTGTTCAGGGGAGAGAATAGGCCCATTTGCTATCACTTCAGGATCAGGAGTTGCAGTAGGAACATAAGTGCCCAAGTTCTTTTTATAGTAATCAATAATTTCTATAATGATTTCAGATCTGTCAGTAATTCTAATCCCATTGTTAGTGTATAGGGTCAGAATTCTGTTAAGGTGCCTTTTCTTTTTCATGATAGAATGAAAAAACCTTGATCACTTATCCCCTTGCAAGCTCCAGTTTATGTTAGCTTTCTGTTTGTAGTAAGAAGATTCACAATCAATCAATCTGTCATATTTTTTGATGCATTCTTTTTCCCTTGCAATCAAATCTGAGTTGAAAAGATCATCATTTAATTGCCTTTGAATATCAGCTAAATCATCCTTAGCTCTACATACTTGTTCACTTATATTCATGAAGTGATTTTTATTTAGCTCTTTAAGGGCATGTTTAAGCCTTTTGAACTTAGTATGAAACCTGAACATATAGTAGCCTTCACTGCTTTGATGCCATATAGAATTTACTGTTGAGATAAAGTCTGGATGCTTAACCCACATACTGAAGAACTTGAATGGCCTTTTACCCTCAAAATTATCATCTTCAATGGTTAATAATGTCGGAGAATGGTCTGAGCATTTTGGCATGAGATATTCCACTTGACTTGAGGTGTATAAGTGAATCCAACTCTCATTAACCAAGCACCTATCCAGTCAGACCAGATTCTGTGTTCAGCCTCTTGTTTGTTACACCAAGTATAGTAACAGCCAGTAGATCTTAAATGCAACAGCTGACTAGTGTTAATGAAGCTTTGAAAATCCTTAATGTCAGCTTTTGTAACTGGCAATCCTCTAATTTTCTCTTCATAACTTGTAATAGCATTGAAATCACCCCCAATAATCCATGGACTATTAACATTTTGTTTTAAAGTAAGTAAATCCCTCCAAAGATTTTTCCTGCTAGCCATTTGGTTTAAAGCATATACAATAGTGCATAAACTGGTAAACCTTCCATCTCTGGATTCAATAGTGCATGTAATGCATTGCACTGATAAAATAACATTTTGGACTGCCAAGATATCACTATCCCAGAGAATCCAAATTCTACCATTTCTAGCTTCTTGCACATTAGAGACCCACTTCTAGCTTTTAGTAATTTTCATTGCTAGCCTTTGCATCTTATTTTCAAAGAGCTTTGTTTCCAATAGAGCTAATAAAGAGAGATTATACTCTTGAATAAAATGCTTGACTATTGAATGTTTAGAGGATTTATTAAATCCTCTAATGTTCCAAATAGCAAGTTGCATTAAAGAGATTTTCCACCTCTGTCTGCACAGGATGGATAAGAAATTTGTTGCTCTAGGATAGAGAAATGAGATGGCAAAATACCTGAAGCAACTAATTCAGTTATATTAGCTCTCCTTGCTATGCTGTTTCTATTCACACTTGTGAACCCTGATGCATTAACAGTTGGACTGATCAGTTGGAAATGAGCATTACCAGGTGTTTTTGGAGTTGAGTTTTGCTGATACAGGGTATGTTCATTTGCTTGCATATATTGAATTGAGCTGGGGATGGTTACCCTTTCACTTAAACCAAAATTGCTCTCCAAGTTTCTCCTTGTCTGTGTAAAATCATCTTGTGCACGTTTTTCATTCTGTGCATGTTTCTCAACAGATTGGGCTTCCTGATTAGATGAACTAATAACATGGTCCTTGGAACCAGAAAAAGAAGTTATTGCATTCTCATGCTGAAAAATCTCCTTTTCAAGTCCAGAATTAGATACATGCTGAACATTTCCATTTGTAACATTTCCAGACTGCCTGTTGATAGGAACCCACACCTTCTTTGTTTTATTTCTTCTGCACTGTTCAGTATCATGACCAATCATATTGCATGTAGAACACCACTTAGGTTTGAATTCATACAAAACTTGTTGCATATAGCTTTTTCCATCAGGCCCTTCAATTTTCAGAAAATCAGGCAAAGGCTCTTTAAAAGGAAGTTTCACCTCTATTAAGACTCTAGCATAACTCAATCTCTGTCTAGTGGCCGTGAGCTTATCAGTTGTGAGAGGTTTCCCAATGAGGCTAGCAATTGTACTAATACCAGTTGAGCTCCAAAGATTAAGTCTCAATCTTGGAAATTGGACCCACATTGGATAGAAATAATCCTGAAACTTTTCTATGTCTGTATCAATACTCCATGGCTTCAACATTAAAGGTCTTGATCCAAAAAACCAAGGTCCTACCTCAAGAACATCATTCATTTGCTTTTGAGTTTGAAAATCAAATAGGAATAACCCTTGTTTGATAAGAGAGATCTTAGGTATAGAGATTTTACCCCACAGTTTGTTAACATAGGATTCCATTGACTTAAATTTGACATTCAATCCTATAACATGCCCAATTAAGGCATTTCTCCATAATTATTCACCTTGCTTTCATTCATCAGCAGTAAAAGAGGCTGTATTGGTAAGAGAAGATGGCATGAAGCTTAGAGATAATCCATTACCAGATTTCCTATTATCAGAAAAGAGGCTAACAAAAGTTTTACTGGATCCAGTTCCAATTTTCTCCTGGAATACATCATTAACCTTTTCCTTTACAGGTTCATCCTCATTTTCCAGGAATACATCATTAACCTTTTTCTTTACTGGTTCATCCTCTTTTTCTTCCAGATTCAAAAACACAGATTCAGGTTGATGATCCTTAGTAGGAACATTTTCCTCATTTGTATCAACAGATCTGGCTTCTACAGTGTTTCTCACATCAGAAATTAATGTAACAGTATCAGTATCAGCTATCAAATTTGAAACCTCTGAACCTGAATCAAGAGCTCTTGACTTTGAAGAAGAACTTTGAAACAGAGGAAAATCTAAAGAAGTTACCTCAAATTCAACCTCTTCAGCCTAGGAAACCCTAGGAGATCTATTTGCACCATTACCAGAGATTTGAGAATTATTAAGATGACGAACTTGAACTCCATTAATCTGAGTATCTATTTGCACCATTACCAGAGATTTGAGAATTATTAAGATGACGAACTTGAACTCCATTAATCTGAGCTGAATGCAGAGATTGTTGCGGATTGATCAGAATTATTAAGATGACGAACTTGAACTCCATTAATCTGAGCTGAATGCAGAGATTGTTGCGGATTGATCTTGAAATCAAAAGATTTAAGTATTTCCTCCATTGATTTCTTTATCTTCTCTCCTTTTGGACCAGTCGAACCCATAAAACTGGATCCATCATCATCTCCATCCAAACTTGTGTCGAATTGATCCTCAGAGTGCAGCGAATTAAAGCTAGAGGATCTCAATCCAATATTAAGAATCTTCCTTCCACTCCTCTTCTTCTTCTTGGCCATAGAAATCTAAGCAGGGGCGCAGGTTAGCTTCAAGAATTGCATGCTAACATGCACTGTCAGACCCGCTCCTTTTTCCTCTGTATTTCATGCAATGTTAACTATTAAAAAAATAAACTTATTAGAAGGGGAACTATGATAAAGTGGTGGAAAGGCTCAAACTCACATTGAAGAAACGAAAGAGGGTTCGGATTAGAAAGTACCCAAATTGAAAAGAATCTGAGGTATAAAGCATGACTTATCACACAATGATTTCCACAAAGACCTGGAGATGATAATGAGAGACATATTCTCCGATGGTGGATGTCATTACATTTCGATATCATATTAGTCTAACAATAAATGAATGACTTGATGTGCATCTACTGGATGTAGTTATAGCCTATTTATATGGCTCTCTTGATAACATTACCCATATGAAAATCTCTGAAGGATTTAGGATGCAAGAAGCATGAAATTCAAATTTTCGAGAAAATTATTCAATCAAAGTACAAAGATCTTTATACGGATTAAAGCAATGGATGTATGTAGTATAGCCATCTTAGCGAATATTTGCTGAAAGAAGGTTATAGGAATGATATAATCTGCCCACGTGTTTTATAAAGAAACAGGGGTCTAATTTTGTATAATTGCAGTATATACTGATGATTTGAATATTATTGGAACTCCTAAAGAACTTCCAAAGGCAATAGAATGTTTAAAGAAAGAAATTGAGATGAAAGACATTGGAAAAATAAAGTTGTCTCGGCTAGCGGATCGAGCATTTAGTAAATGAAATTCTTATTCATCAATCAAATTATACAAAAGGGATCCTGAAGCGATTTTATATGGGCAAAGCACATCCATTGAGTACCCCAATGGTTGTCTGGTCACTTGATCTGAATAAGGACCCTTTCCGACCTTGAGAGGATAGCGAAGAACTTCTTCGTCTAGAAGTACCATATCTTAGTGCAATAAGTACATATCTTGCTTACAATACACTGCCATACATACATTCTCTGTAAATTTGTTAGCAAAGTATAGTTCCTATCCAACTCAAAGACATTGGAACGAAGTTAAGCACGTATTTTGATATCTTCGAGGAACAATTGAAATGTGATTGTTTTATTCAAAAGAATCTAGAGCACAACTAATTGGTTATGGAGATGTAGGGTATTTACCTAATCCACATAGAGCTCGATCACAAATAAGATATATATTCACGTATGTGTTGAGCGCTGCGGAAGCCAAACAACCAAACCAACATACTACGAGAAATCAAATCAAACGAACGTCGAGAGAAGGCCAAACGAACCAAATCAATACCACAAACAACCAATTTTAACGTGGTTCGACAAGTTACCTACGTCCACAGGGCAAGAATGTGATAGGGTGTTTCACTGATAGAAAAGAAGAGTACAAACTGAGATTACAAATCACTCAAACTCACCAATTAATCTCACCAACAAATCTCTAATTTTCTCCAAATAAAACCCTAACCAATAGCTTAGAAAATGCCTCTTTTCTATGCTCCAAATATCCGCAATTTTCTTCTCAATTCTCTCTTTCAATTGTTCCATATATATAGAAATCCTAAAATCATAAACATATTAGGAATTCTAAAACAAAAAACAAAATCCATATATATAGAAATCCTAAAATCATAAACATATTAGGAATTCTAAAACAAAAAACAAAACAGATTAGGAATCCTAATAACCTGTTACCAAAACAGATTTGGAATTATGTTACCAAAACATATTAGGAATCCTAATAACCTGTTACCAAAATAAATTAGGAAACATATTAGGAACCTGCTATCCAACAATTCTCTATCTCGGTAAAGTTTTCTCAAAACTGAGCCGACACCAATACCAACCAAACGTCTCACTTGTTGCGTCCAGTACGAAGTGGAACAAATCCATGACAACGGACCCAATCCACAATAAGTCGAGAACCCAAATGAGAATGCGAATAAACTCTAAATATCGGTATCAACTTATCAAACCGGCTGCATCATAAATGACTGCCTACGTATCCTCTTGCCCAAGGAATCAAGCATTCACGTAGTTCACCCAAACGGTCTCCAGAGACCCTCAATCAAATAAAAAAGTTTGTAATTCTTCACCAATATCACCAACGGATCTGTAACTGATAGCGCTCTTAATGGCCCCAAACTAAAACAAATCAAACACCTCCACCTGAGGTGAACCAATGGCCGTATCCAAAACATGTCCACCAGCTGTACTCGAATCCAAAACCAACTCATCATCTGCATCCAAATCCAAATGATCTCCAAACTATGTCACCTCAGCTAGAATTCCAAACGATGTAGTATGATCTGAAGTATGTGGAGTAATCTCCACCCAATGTGAAGTAGCATCACCTTCCACCCACTGTGATATCCCAATGATCTGATCAGCACTCTCCACCTACCGAGAGTCAAATGTGACATACCTGTTCAGAACAAAATCAGAAGCTACTAACTAATAATCAAACGAACATCTGAACCTTAAACGTGCAATTGGATCAAATCTCACATCCTCGATGTGACTAAATATTGGGCAACCAAATATCTGATGCAACCTAAAATCTAAAGCAGCTCCACCAGATCCAAAATCTCCACACGTAGCAATCGACAACCTATGACCAAGATGACCCAAATATGTCAAAGCTCCAAAATCAAAACCAATGCTCGACAACCAACACTGATACCCCTCTAGTAAGGAACAACCCATCAAAACTGTCATCTCATCTTGTCGCCCTAATGTCTCCACATCAATGAAGTGTCTCAAACTGCCATGAGCTCTGCACAAATGCAAGAAAGAATCCCTACCAAAGCTAGAACGACGGGTTACCTTTCTACCAATACACTTCTTCCAATTGTTGTTGACTTCTAGGACTTCACACCAACGGGACCTGGTTGTAACCCACCAATACCTAGAATAATCCCTAACTATGGAAACCAAATCCCGATTACCTCTCAATGATGCCTTCTTGGAAGGCCCCTAAATGCCTGACTGAACACCACCTAAATGACCCTTCAATCGATGGATAGAAGTGCCAAACTCCACCTCGGTCTTCTTGCTTATACCAATGTGCTCAAAGAACTTCAATCTGTAGGTCAAAGCACTCCTCAACAAACCATGTACGGCATAACCAATCAAATAACCAAGCCTCAACAAATGCCACAGTCTAGCCAAATCCAAAAAAGTCGTCAGCTCTCTATCAAACACCGTGCTCCCAATCAAATAATACAAATTATTCCTCCTAACATCTTTCATCACAATCATGGACCCCAATATGACCTTCAAACATGAATCGACCAAGGTCACCCTATAGCCTGTTACCTCCAAAACTCCAAGTGAAATGATGTTCTTCTTCAACTGGGGAACGAACCTCACTCCAACCAACTCCCGAATCACTCCGTCACTCATTCTAATCCGAACGGTACCGATACCACCAATAGGACATTCATGATCATTACCCATGAGCACGACCTCCCCTCTTTCTAACTCCTGAAAGCTGGAGAATCAATCCATCCTAGGGCAAATATGGTAATAAGCACTTGAATCCAACATCAACTTTGTAGAGTCGGCAACACAAACTGACGGTAGTGCAGACAATGAGTAGCGGGAAGAATCTGAATCTGAATTATTACCACTAGCATTGACAACATTCACCTCTGAAGCTTGAATAGCTTTCCCCTTATTCTTCCCGACTCGATCAACCAACTTTGGGCATTCGGTTTTCTAATGTCCATCCTCTTTACAAAAGACACATTGATTCCTATAAACTCCAAGATGTGCCCCTCTAGGCTGCGACCTCCTACTACAGTTTTGACTCTTTGCTCTTGTGACCAATGCCCCCGCTACCGGCTCAACTGAAGTCTCCTTATCCTTCTTTCAAAGCTGAAAATTC